ATATATATATATATATATATATATATATATATAAAGAAATATGTACAATAACAATAAAACACATTTGCTACATAGCGGTTAAAATGTTTAAGTTTTGGAACATCCCCGTTATGAAATGCAATTAAGGATAGCAAGACAACTGGAAGTCGGATTTACCAGTTGATGACTACCAAATTAAATGTTTCATCTCTATCATTACGTTAGGGTCATATTAATTAAATAGCCCATACACCTTGTACATGCTTTCATTAGGGCGTAAACGAGCCCACATCGTTCTTCTCCGTTTCCAGTCATAACACTGGTGACAGGATCATAGGTGGTGAACACCAATGTCCACCGAACAGCTGTTGGCCGCAAAGCACGTACGCACGCAAAATAGGCCAATGGGTCTGTGGTTAAGAGCAGCGCCGCTGGTGTTCGCCGTCACAATGGAACACGTTCAGTGTGTACCGGGTAAGGAGGGCGGTCGTGCGCTACACAAAATGAAAGTATTCCATGGGAAAATGTCCTAAAACGCGTGTGAATGCAGGCTAAGGTGGGAGTAGCACACGCATCCGAGTGCGGGCTGATTATGCCGCCCGAGTTTATCAGAAAAATGTTTCAGTAAGAGAATGCTGAGAGCGCCGTCGCCTTGGTATCCTAGCAACCCTGTTTGTTACTTCAATCTTCTTCCGAAAAGAGAAAATTTTAAATCCAAGTCCAACTAAATGAATTCTCCGTCTTCATTTATTGGGAGCCAGAAAGACGCAGGGTGATCCGGTCTGTAATAATTACTTGCTCACAGAAAACCCTGAAAAAGTCAACTTTAGACTAATGCTTTGGACTGAGAAGGAACCCCTGTCCTGACCAGCCTCCACAATGGCGTAAGCTCTCATTTCCTGACACCAGTTTTTGCCCCCCTACTTGTACACCTCCTGCTAACTTAAAACAAACATCCTACCGGTCTCTGGCCATAACTCACCCTCGGTGTTAAGGCACCCCCGACCCCTTCACAGACACAAGCTGACTTCACTTTAGCTAACCACAGAGGGCCAGAAGGAAGGGCCTCAACACCCAACCCCCTAGCAGATCAGACTGAGCCTACAAACAATCATTAGTGGCCTGACTAACAGTGTGATCTTGTGCATTGCTGTTGTTTTGAAGAAGAGTAATGACTGGAACTGGTGTTACTCACCAGGTTCCTGGGCAGAGGCTATTTTTTCATTTGAAAATGAACAAATTGTAGTAATTCTTACTAATTATAACGCAGAGGATACATTTTTTGTGCAAGGGGCAATTTACCTTCTGGCCACAAGAGAAGTCTCCACTTGTTGACTGCGACCTATTGACTGGACTTCAGGATCGCTTTCGCAGGTCATCTGTATGTTACATGAGACTCATTTACGCCATGGTTCTGCCGTAATTCAGATCACCCTGTGGTTGGATTTGCATCTTTTCATCTTAGACACCATTTCATAACAAAAGCTGTTTCTATGTGACGAGATGACTCCCGTTCCATTACATCATTCAAACGACTGACACTTGCCTTTTTATCGTAACCTAATTTTTTCCGTTACTATATGTTATTACCGTACTTTTCATAATACAGGATCCAGATATTATTATTATATTATTATTATACTTTTGTGCTGCACCCCACAGAGCATCCGGAAGCAATGCTACTGAGGTCCCTGAACCGCATATTCGATTAGCCATGATATTACTTTTTCCTTGGGATATTTAACGAGCAAGGGCTTAACCTCCTCCGCTGTACAGCACCCCCACCCCCCACCCCCAGAAAGGTTAATAACAATTAATAGGGAGTGGCTGAGGGGCAGTTTTAACAAACATGTGCACTCTGACTGTCACATGGCTCTCACAAGGCTGGGGGAGTCACCAGCTGAAAGACCATGGTCTCACGCTGACAGACACCTGCAATACTGTCTGCAGTAACACACACGGGAGGAGGGAGTTTTCCCCACTGCTACCCACAATGCTCCTAGGCTCTGCACTGCCTTTCGTTGACTCACCGCACCCTCTCCCCGGCGACCGTGGCGTCTCGCACACAAAGGCGTTCTCGCATCTCTGAGCCTTGGGTACACGTGCTCAGAGATGGCCGTCATTATTACCACATGTGGTGGTGATTAACGCTCCCGTCGGGTAATTAGCACGAAACGAGAGCTGACTCTGGCTCTGGGCAGCCACAGCGCACGTGAAGCGTGGGATCACGCTGAGCCAATGCTGTCAGCCATAACCATGATTAGAGCTAATAATCAAGCCCCCGCCCCCAGTGGGGCCCTCGATAGGGGATCACCCCCCCAAAACCCAAAGCCAACGTGAACAACACCCCCCCCCCCCCACTTTGGCTGTAATGATCGTAATGTTTACCAGCTCTTTGTTCCAGTGTGTGGTAGCCCAACGAAGGACTGGTTTTGGCGGGGGGGATGGGTTCTGTTCGGTTTCCACACGCGCATTTATGTCAGCTGTGCTCAGGAACTGTGGGTGGGGGAGGGAACAGGGTCCAGGCTCTCAGATTTTCCGTATGAATTGTCTTGAGAGATGCCTTGATGTTTCCCTGGGAAGCTGCGCTGGTTAGCCTTCTCTGTTAGCACGCCGACTGCCGATGGTTACACTGTCGCGGTGTAATGATTCATCCATGCATCACTTTTAAACGCCCCAGCGGCTGCTTCGACACGGAAAGATGGATTTCAAAGTGTCGCGATCCTGTATTTATTTTGAACGTATTAAAACTTCTACTGCCATAAAAAGGCCATAACTCATTTATTTATATTAATAATATTAATGTTAAAAACATCCAGAATCAATATTCAGTCTGATATGATGACAGAAAACAACACGGAGAAAACATTCAGTGCGGGCAACCCAGTAAGTGAGGGGCTGCGAGGCAGAGACCTATGCTAAGCAGACCTCCTCTCTATGCTAAGCAGACCTCCTCTCTGTGCTAAGCAGACATCCTCTCTATGCTAAGCAGACCTCCTCTCTATGCTAAGCAGACCTCCTCTCTATGCTAAGCAGACCTCCTCTCTGTGCTAAGCAGACATCCTCTCTATGCTAAGCAGACCTCCTCTCTATGCTAAGCAGACCTCCTCTCTATGCTAAGCAGGCTATGCATTCATTAAACATGCTAATTCATATCAACACCGAGATCAAATGTTCATGCACTCTGTTCATGACATGGCCAGCAATCCTAAGCAGTCCCATGACCAAACTTCTTCAGGTTGCTGCACTCCTGTTGAGTGATTTCCTTCTTCCAGGTCCATGCTCCATGAAACTCAGCCCTCCATTTCAGAAGTAGCAGTATATCGCCTCCCCCACTCCCTTTGGTACCGTCTCACCCAGAAGTCCCGCCCCCACATAGCTTGAGCTCCAGCTCCTGCCCCCCCTCCATGCTGATGCTCAGCTTGTCTACATGTAGCGGTTCTTGATATACTCCCGGTACATGAGGACGTCCCCCCGGTGCAGGGCCCCCACCAGGCCCCGCCCCGTCTGGATGTGCCTTTCGAACACCTCCCGACTGGCCTTGTCCACGCTGGGGGGCTGCACTGCGTAGATGCTGTCCTGGGAGAAGTGGGATACGGGCGTCCTGGGGAAGGGAGGGGGTACAGAATGGGATTAAAATACCATGACCTGGTAAGAGCTTTGAACTTGTAAAAAAATATCAAAAACTTGTAACTTGAACGTAAAATCAATTATGTTATTGTCATACAAATAAAACATTCTTCATATATTCCATCTTGCTATTGTATGAGACACACACGGAAAAATGGGGTCAGAGCAGCGGCAGATTTGGGGGGGGGGGCAGCACCTGATAGGGGCCGTCGAATACATAAAATTGTATGTAAAATTGGGCTGGGGGGTCTAAGGTTATATTTAGTCAGGGGGCGCCCCTAGCCACGTCCCTGGATCAGAGAGCATGGTCAGCCCTTTATCCTGCCCCCCAGAAGCTGGTGGGGTTATGGGCCTTCCTCAAGGACCCACTGGTGACGTGATTAATCTGCCGACCACGCGATTTAAACCAGTGACCTCCTGCATACGGCCATGGACTCCAGACCGTGACACTCTGTATCTAATTACAAGATAATATGAATTTTCTGGCCAGTAATCTAGGTTTTAATAAATGGATCCATAGTCAGTGATGAATGACACAGGTTCTATAAGCAGTGCGAGAGCCTGGAAGCAGAGCCCCAGCTGAGCACTGCGGGAGGCCTGAAGTGTCTCCCTGCGGGCGCAGCCCTTGCCTGAGTTCCTGGAAAGCGCCAGTCTATCCGGCATTTAGCGGGGACTGAAATCAGCTCGAGTGCACTTTGAGCACATCTGTGGAGGTGGAACCTCAATTGAGCTATCATAACCGCTTATCCAGGACAGGACAGGCAGGATAATGGGGAGTCTGGAGCCCGTTCCAGGAAGTCTGGGGCAGGGGACACCCAGGGCGGCATGCCGGCCCATCACAGGGCACGAGGCAGAGGACACCCAGGGCGGCATGCCGGCCCATCACAGGGCACGAGGCAGAGGACACCCAGGGCGGCATGCCGGCCCATCACAGGGCACGAGGCAGAGGACACCCAGGGCGGCATGCCGGCCCATCACAGGGCACGAGGCAGAGGACACCCAGGGCGGCATGCCGGCCCATCACAGGGCACGAGGCAGAGGACACCCAGGGCGGCATGCCGGCCCATCACAGGGCACGAGGCAGGGGACACCCAGGGCGGCATGCTTTTATAAGAATAAAAAGGTGATCTAATTTAACAGAAGGAATATATAACTAAACTGAGCTTTAACACTGTCCCTCAGTCGCTCCCCGAACAGCGGCAAGGCGCCCGCCAGACCCACGAGCTGAAAATGAGGGATTACCATCGCAGTCGCCTTCATTCTCACCTGGCATAGGGGGGCCAGTCTGAGCTGCACTGAGCTGGACAGGTCACAGAGGGCATCAAGCTTTTTTTTCACAACTTTAAGTGCAGAAGTGGCTTCCTGCCTCCCACGCAAACAGCATGACGGCAAACCCCTCCCACACCAACACACAGACTGTTCACCCCCTGCCATCTTGCAGAAGGTTCTGGAACATCTGAACTGTCACTGCCTGACACTGAGACAGCTTCTTTCCCCAAGCAGTCGGGCCCCTTAATACCCTGCTGCCCCCAAAGGACCGACACTGTCCCTAGTAGTCACCCCCCCAACTTCAAAGACTGCCACTATCCTCATCACACCCCCCAACTACCCTCCAATGATGCTGCTGTTCTTTGCCTGTTTGCCTTATTTAGAATAATATTTATATATTCTTTACTTGCACTACACTGCATACACGCACTACTTATATTTGTTGTACTGTATGACATTCACAACACTTCTGTTTATTGTCTTTGTATTAATGTATAGTACCTTAGGGGGCTCAAGGAAAATGGCATCTGTCCTGCCCCCGATCGTTCACTCCTTCTGTGTGCCACGCCCCCTCGTTAACCTCGTGTGGAATCCCCATGTGATCAGCTGTTTCTTGTTGCTGTCCTCTGTATTTAGTTTCCCCAGTCCGGTCATTGTATTGTCCGTCTGCGTTTTGCCTGCCTTACCTGTAATTAAACCCCGTATTTCCCGATTTTCCGTCTCCGCTCGTGCTTCCCTGGTTTAATGCAAGACACATTTCAATGCACCGTGCACTCGTACATGGATGTGTTGATGAAGAACTCTCGAGATCTCGAGTCCTGAACGCCGCCCACTGGCTTCAGCCTGAGCAGGGATTAGAAGGTTCAGCTATGTTATAAGGTAAATAAATCACTACGGCTGCTGCCGCTGAGACGGAGCTAACGCTCTATGGCTTCCGTAGAAATGTCCGATTTAAATATTTAACAACAGCTCTGAGTGACGAGGATCTGGAGACACCGCAGTCCTTAATTTCCCTCCAGTCCAGATATGTGCCGGAATCTGTTCAGTTTCAGAGTCTCGGCTGAAAGCCACAGTGTTGTGCCCCCCCCAGCCCCCAGGTACTGTGAGCTGTGATTGTCCCCCCCGGCGCTTCAGCACAGGCAGCACTGGTGTGCTCTTTAATGCTTGCGTGTTGCCTCTCAGGTGCCGACACAACAGGATCCAGCTTCGCTACACACTCGCCGGCATAGAAAGAGGAGGATTTGATGGACCGTGAAACTAACGTGCCGTTCCTGCCATAGTGGGACTATACTGGCGGGGGGAGGCAGGGACTCACAGACCCTCCTTGCCGGGGGATAATGAGCGTCCCCCCCAGGATAGAACTTACTGTCTGCCCTTTTCTCTGCTCTCCCAAAGACAGAAACACCTTATCTGATGGCGGGTTTGCAGGACCTGTTTACCATCTCTCTCCGTCTGCTCGGGACAGATATAATGTATGCGTGCCTCCCCAGATTCCCCAATTCCTTTGCTTTGTTAGTGCCGTCATCATGAGGCTGTAAGTTGCAGCAGCAAAGAATGACACCAAGGAGACTGAGGCACTAAGAAAGAGACCAGTTAAAACAGACAGGTTCCTGAAACACATATCTGGACGATAAAACCATCATTTTCTTTTGGAAATTACAAGGCTGCACATAAAATAAGTGTTTATAGTGAAGGCCACAGGCAGATGCAGGTAGACAGACGTGTGCATGTGTGTGCGTCTGCTGGATGGAGCCATGCCCTTTCACACAGCGACCACACGGCCGCCCTTGACACAGCACTGAGAGGCTCTGCATTGTCGCCGTTTCGCGTTAAAACAAGGCAGCGCGGAGGTGTTCGCTTACATAACTGCAATAATAAGCCTCCTCTCTGTCTCCCGATAGTCATGTACATTACCGTGCTTTGGTCTGAGGAAAAAAAGAAAGCCGGCTTTGTAATCCTAACCATTTACACAGCCGGTTCTCCCAAGAACCGAACAGTAAAGCGTCTCGTGTGTGCAACCCTGGAGGGGTCCGGCTGTTGTGCTTTTGACCTTCTCAAGTAAATGGGAGACTGACTTGTTTATTTCAAGATTTAAAATGACAGGTTACATGTGATTAAGCAGAGCAATCCAGCCCTCTAATTATTAATTAATCCAATCTCGTCTCCAAGCTCGGCATCCTTTCACAGGTTCCCAACCCGCCGTTCGTTCCACCATTTCAAATTCCGTCCATTTTCCATGTGGCCCAGTTGTCATGTACCGCAGAGGCGGGTGGTGGCTCCCCCTTGTGGTTGTCACTCCCCCCCCCCCCCCCCCCCGCCACATTAATCATGGCAGCCATGCGCAGATTCGCGGGGGCCGGGCGCGTTTGGATGGCAGCTGCTCCTCTGTGCTGGTCAATCAACTTAAAAAAACTGAAATATGCAAAATCAGGCATCGGTAACAGAGGGGGGTGTATTTCTGAGAAACGAAAAACACCGGACCACAAAAATCTACATAAAAATACCCAGCGGTATGAACTGTACAGGTCCACTGCCTGCCAGCCAGTCTGTACAAAAAGTACCTGAACTGTAGCGAGAATGGATATTAAAACTAGCAGATGTAACACTTTAGGCTTCTGTTCAAACTGGCTGGCACTGCGGGTCACACCATAAGCCTCTCCAGTTCCAAACTGGAGGCCAGACTGACAGGTGCTATTGGAGCTCACAGGCCGGTGATCAGGGCCTAGCGCTACAGTACATACACGTGGCTTCTAAAAATACCCTTTAAACAGACCCCGTGACACAGAGGAGGAAAAAAAAGAGGCTTTTCTCCCCTTTTTTCAAACATTTCTTCACACATTATAACCCCTTGTAGGTCCTTTTCACTCGCAGTAAAGCCATTTGACGGACATTTTTTAATGAGTAGAAAACATCAGGCTTGTGTGTGTAAAATAGATTGTATGCGCATGTGTCTGCGTCTCAGAAGCCAGCTTTTAGCCAAATATAAAAACCGGACCTCAACCACCTGAAACCACGGAAACCGGCATCTCCAGAAAGGCTTTGCGTTGCCATGGCGCACAATGTGAAGGTTTTGTTTTGTGTCAGTCTGCGGTCGTTGTCACACAGGGTTAATGAGGTTCCTTCTCCCAGCTGAGGTGGGGGGGGGGGGGCTGACCATTAGCCAACTGGAGCAAAAATGTGCCACGTGTGAAGCTGCTGCGCACCTAAGTGACCTATCATCACCTAAAGGGCTACAGAAAACTGAGGTCTGCATTGCCCTCCAGAGGCAGACATTACTACTGCAGCAGCACAGCCCTGGGGGCAGATCCACGCCCACTTGAAGGAGGGGGAGGGGGGGCTGCAAGACAAAGGCTCCAAGGCGAGCGGCAGTGTTCCAGAAAGATGGAGAATTCGTCCCACTGGACTGCAAGTGAATCCCCTCCCCCTCTTCCAAAGGGTTATGGTTTTTAGGCAGGATGTGGAAAAACGTAGCCTCCCACCCCAGGTAAGATGGTAATAAAGGAGGGGCGTGGCTAGACAGCACACAAGTGTGTATCCATGACAGCCATAGCCAGGCTCTCGCGTCCCCATAACATCAAAGTGGTCCCCACAGTGTAATATATATATATATGACCCGCACACACACACAGGCTGGACAGCAGTGCAGCTCTGTGACATTCACATAGCTGTGGCCTAATGGATTACATTCCACTGGGAAGAGCAGATACCTGCACCCTCAGCCATACACCTGCACCTCTGGGATGTTTCAGCCAAAATCCACATTCCTTATGTGATGTGCAGCGCAGAAACAGGGAAGCGGGTGACTTAGTGCTAAAGGAACTGAAGCGACTAGAAATGCACTGATGTAATGATGAATTCTCCAGGGAGGCCATTTAACTTCAGAAAACGGCAGAAGGATTAGCGGCGGTTTCACGGCCGTTCCAAACATTCACTGGATTAGTGGGGTCTGAGCTGGCCCGGACCTGAACATGGCGGTTTCGCTGCCATCCCAAACATTCACTGGATTAGCGAGGTCAGAGCTGGCCTGCACCTGAATGCGGCGGTTTCACTGCCATCCCAAACATTCACTGGATTGGCGGGGTCTGAGCTGGCCCGCACCTCAACGAGGCGGTTTCACTGCCGTCCCAAACGTTCACCTTAAAGGGCACGAAGATGAAGCAGTAAAGGTCGTAACAGGGAGCAGCGATTACTCACAGGTTTATGACACTTTCCCGCTGCTCGGGTTCGGCGACCTGGCCCATCCACTCCACTTTGTGCTGGTTCTGACCCAAATGTGCAAACCTGTGGACATGGAGACTAGTTAGATATACTGGGGGTGGTGACAGCAGTAGGCCACAGCGCTCACGTTGTCGGCGCACATGTCCGCCTTTTCAGGATGTAACAATTCATTGCGGGGCTTAGAGGACAGACACGGAGAACCGGGGCATCCGGCTGCGATTTCACGCCCCAGAAGGCAACCCCCCCTCTCCCCTACCCCCCCAAGCCGTTCATCAGCAAGGACATAGTCTGTGTTGGTGGAGGGGTCACTTCTCCAGTCAGATCGTATCCAGAGGAGAACCTTCCAGAGAACCGGGGACCCACACATAGATGAGACTAGCGATGGTTATCCGGGAAACGAGATGCTTCTGTGAGATGTGGGCTCTGTATCTACACCAGTGCTCCTCACTCCGGTCCCCTCAGGCATCCCTGGACAGTCCATGTTTTCGCTCCCTCACAGATCCCTGCCAGACAGTCCACATTTCTGCTCCCTCCCGGCTCCAGGTAAAACGCGGACTGTCTGGGGGTCCCAGAGGGCCGGGGTGAATAACACTCATCTACACAATAGCCCTGCAGACGGCAGCTAAGAACCCCCCCCCGACACCGCATCAGGAGCAAGTCCAAAAAAAAAAAAATCCCCACACATTTTTTTTACAACACTACAGAGACACAAACGGCAATTTGCTAATGAAACTGCATTATTATCAGGCGGAATATTCAGGAAGACCTAGCAGATGCTAGAAGGCAAAAGGCAAAGGCTGGAAGCAGGGTTCTCGAATTTCTGAACTCTGAAGACGACCAAAGCCCTACCCCTTCTAGACAGCTGGCCGCGATCTTCCCCTTATACAGGGCAGATGTGGCAGAAACCTCCATCTTCCCACAAACAGGAGCCCAAACCCTGGGGCTTCCTAATCATCCCTTCTCATTTCAAAGAACTTCACGTCATCATAATAAATGTTATTAACAATGGCCACCAAAAATGGGCATTCCATCAGATGTAAATTTCATTGTTACCCATTATTATTAATGAGCAACATTAATTAGAAATCCCTTTCTAAGAATCGACTGAACGGCAATTTCCCAAAAGTCCTACCCTCACAGTTAACCAGATAAACAAAAGACTCATTTAAAAATGTAATGACAGCTGACAATGTGTGGCCCTGGTGTGGGCCGGGAAGAGAAGCTGGCGCCGTTACCATGGAGATCGCTAGATCCGCTGCACTGAAAGGCCTTGAGACACATTCACTCGCCTGCTAGCTCGCCCTCGGTGAGCGGGGCGGAGAGAGATGCCGGTCCGGGCCTGTGGTGCTCCCGGGACACAACATCTGGGGTCCGATCATTTACCAAGCACCCACAGAGGAGGGTCTGAATCATCCCCCCCCCCCTCCATTTTGCTTAACGAATTAGCAAAGAGGCAGTAAGCACCTCAAGGATAGCATACTGGTTATGAACATAGACTCGTGTCACAGAGGTACACAATTCAAGCATCACGAGGGTCCGCCTGTTGTACCCTAGCGCTACATAAGCGGTGAGACTGCTGTCTGTTTAGATGGGCAGAACTAATCACTAAAGGTAAAGGCAGCGACGTGTCAGTAATTCAAAGACGCCGGTGCCGTTTGTGTTTGTCAGGCTACGGTCAAAGGCTGCTTCTGTCATCAGTGGGAGACTGAGCGTGACACAGAGCCGGAAAGAACGTGCGGCACAGTGAGCTGGAGCGTTCCAGACGCCGTCTGCTTACGAGTCAATCGAGTCAGAGAAACACGGCTAGGGCGGCCAATCAAATGTTACATAACACAGCCATTTTTTCCCCCGCCATCTTTCACAGGAAGTACTTACGGCAGATTTTCCAGAAGAGGTCAAAAAGCCGAATAACCCAGCCGGTCAAAAGAGGGCAAACTGAAAATGACCGAAGACCCGACCCCTTCAAAGCTGACAGGGTAATAATCCTGTAAAACAGCGCCGAAAAACGTTTATAACACTGCACTTTAAGGCGCTACGCAAGGGGGGAGAGGTATTGTGTGGAGACCAGTACTGTTTAAGAACACTAATAAAAAAATAAGACAAAATTTAGCTCAAATTATTTTTTGTGGGAGGGGGCTGTCTTTAAAATCAAGAAAATAATAGTGTCAGATGTCTGTTTGGTGGAAGACAGCGGATTATATGCCAAAGGGCCAAAACATTATGATCACCCCTACATGAAGCGAAAAACGCTGACGTGCAAAAACAATGGCTGTCAAGGTCTGGGATATATTATGTTATGGTAACATCTGATGCTCATTGTTGACACGTTTAATGCAGAAGAAATGGACAGGAATAAAGATCTGAATGACTTTCACAAGGGCAAAATGATTATGGCCAGACGACTGGGTCAAAGGACCTCTGAATAGGCGAGTTTTGTGGGGTGCGCGTGGTTAGCCATGGTGAGTATCTACTCAGGGTGACCCGAGGAGGGAAAAACCAGGAACCTCGAGAGGGTGTTGGGCGGCCAGAACTCGCCAATGCAGGGTGTGAACGATGGCTATCCCATTTGGCGCAAACCAGCAGAGGGGCTGCATTGGCGGATCATTTCGAAGGTGATCACAGGACTAACGTGTCACGACTCACGGGGCTTGTAGCCCTGTTGCGTACGGGGCCACGTAGCGGCAGACCAGTCAAAGTTTCCACACTGACTGGGAAAAATGGAGCCAAGTCCCTGTATGAGGCGGCACATGGGATCGTTTACAGTGGCCGCTGAACGCTGTACGGCGCATAAGTCACACGGCCGCGTTGCCGCGGCAGACGTGACAGGCTGGAGTGTGTAACTCAGCTCACCGTCAAACCCAGCCTGCTGGGTAACAAACCCAGCGCCGACACGCTTACACGGTGGAACGAGGTTTCAAGATGGCGATGCACCATCGCCTAGAGATTTCCCAGTATGGTCAAAGCCGAAACGCCGCCATACTGGCAAGCTGCTTCAGTGCTACTCAGCTATTCCGAAGTGAAGGGTATGAACCCAAAGAGGAAATGACTCCAGTTCACAATAATAAATTCCTCTGAACCTGGTGATATCTCCTCTCATACTGAGAAGGCAAGTTATGAGTAAACAGCACTGATTAGGACACTCGAGGGAATTCAACACCCTACTTAAACTCTACAGTGGCTCACTGCGGCCAGCAGATGGCATTGCGATTATGGAACTGAATTGGTGATCAGTAATGTTGCTGGGTTAACTGGTTGGAGCTCCAGTCATAGCACTTCAGCCAGGCCTGAACTTTTGTCTGCTCCAGTTCCCAGGTGAATAAAAGCATAAAATCGGTCAAAAGGTGAGAGTTAATGCTGTTCTAAAATGCTGCCACTGAAGAAATTAAGAGGAGCACAAGCAGCCAAACAAGGATAGCCCCTTCTTCCAGACCCCCTGCCAGACCCCCGCAGAGTGATGGAGCTGGACTCACTTCTGGTAGATCTGGATGTCGTCCTCCCCTGGGGATTCACACAGGCAGAGTCCGTAGATCTCCCTGGTCGCCAGCCGCACACCGTCCTGCAGGAAACACGTGACAGACACATGTTACACGCATGGAGAGAGGTTCAGTCTGTGTCATGGATAAAAAGTCACAGTAATCAGTAAAACACTGAGTAAATCTGACTACCAGTCACCAGTAAACATCATCTCAGACACTGACAAACAGAAGCTTCTGTCACTTATTTTCCACATTAGCACCAATACAAAAACTTCATTTTAACCCATGACCTGGTAAAGACAATAGCAAATCTGCAACCGCGGATAACACTGTGGATTTCAACACGTGGTCCAGACCATAGGCAGACATACAGGCAGACAGACAGACATACAGGCAGACAGACAGACATACAGGCAGACAGAGACAGACAGACATACAGTGGTACCTCGGTTCTCGAACTTAATCCGTTCCAGACTCCAGATCGAATCCTAAAAAGTTCGAGTTCTGATTGAATTTTTCCCATAAGAAATAATGGAAAACCAATTAATTGGTTCCCGGCCCCCCAAAATTACACCTAAATATGTTTTTATTTTATTTAGCTCTGTATTAAGTCCGCGTTTCAGTTTGTTTCCCCAGTCCAGTCATTGGATGCGTTCGACTTGCTTACAGCGCTGGCTTAAAGCAATGCATTCTGATCCTGACGCAACGCATTACGGTTAGATGCATTGCGACCTCTCACCCGGCTGCACAAACTAGAACTGCCTCCAAGACGACACACTTTTGCCCTTATCGGCTGAAGAGTTTAGTTACATGCATGACGTTTGTATCC